AATAAACATTGGAACTACATTGTGCGGTATTGTAAGTTGAAAAAACAGAGTTATATAGATGATACGTTTCCGCCAGCACCGACGAGTTTGTATTACAATCCCCCGGAGAATAAGGATGTCCACGTGGTGAAGTGGCGCCGATTGCGTGATGTGGTGTTTGATGACGATTCGGATAAAGATCTACCTTGGGCGGTGTTTCGGCGCCCGTTGCCTTCGGATATTTCTCAGGGTGTGCTGGGTAACTGTTGGCTGCTGAGTGCCTTAGCCGTGCTGGCCGAGCGCGAGGAGCTAGTGCGTGCTGTGCTGGTCACGCGGGAGTTTTGTCCGCAGGGTGTCTACCAAGTGCGTCTTTGTAAAGACGGGCATTGGACGACTGTGCTTGTTGATGACTTCTTTCCATGTGACAAGAAAGGGCATTTGTTTTATTCACAAGTAAGAGATTTTATTTTACCTGATATTTACTTGTTTTTTTTATACTAATTTGCATGGCAGGCGAAGAGAAAACAGCTGTGGGTTCCTTTGATAGAGAAGGCTGTGGCGAAAATTCATGGTTGTTACGAGGCACTTGTCTCTGGCAGGGCGATTGAAGGACTTGCTACCTTGACTGGTGCACCTTGTGAAAGCATTCCACTGCAGGCGTCTTCAATACCGGCTCCTGCTGAGGAGGAGCTGGATACTGACTTAATTTGGGCACAGTACGTTTCTTAATATATTATTAGCTCATACCACCATAAATTGTTAAATAATGTTTGAATATAGATTACTGTCGTCTCGTCAAGCACTATTTCTCATGGGTGCTTCCTGTGGCGGTGGCAACATGAAAGTAGACGATTCCGAATATCAGCGTGTAGGTCTCCGCCCTCGTCATGCATATTCTCTGCTGGATGTGCGCGATGTGGGCGAACATCGTCTACTACAACTGCGTAACCCATGGGGCCATTTTGTATGGACCGGGGATTGGGCGGATGATTCCTTTATGTGGTCTCTGCATTTGCGTAGTCTGCTTATGCCGGACGGGCCAATGGACGGCACGTTCTGGATATCATTCAACGACGTTCTCAAATACTTCGATTGTATTGACATCTGCAAAGCGCGGCCTGGTTGGAATGATGTGCGTCTGTCTGGTATTTTACCGCCATTGGCATCCCAGCATCATTTATCCTGTATTTTACTCACTGTACTGGAAGCTACCGAGGTTGATTTTACATTATTTCAGGTACAATTGCAATAAATTAGATTTTGGAATGTGTTAATTGTGAATGTCACTTTTAGGAAGGTCAAAGAAAGTCTGAAAAATCGCAAAGATCCCAATTGGATCTTTGTGTAGTGCTGTTTAAAGCTCGCAATGCTTCACCGCCGAATATTGGTGCGCTTGTAGAGCACAGTAAACGGCAAGTCAGGGGTTTTGTTGGTTGTAA